TTGCTGAATTTCAATGTGGATGTATCAAGCTCAGTGATGATCCCTGTCAAGGTCATCCAAAAACTGCAGTCACCCAAGAAAACGTTGATGCTGTGCGTAAGCTGATTGAGGAAGATCGACATGTGACATACCGCGAAATTCAGGCAACTTTAGGCATTGGCATGAGTCAAATACAAATAATTTTGCATGAACAATTAGGTGTAAAAAAGTTGTTTTCCCGATGGATACCGCATTCGCTCCGTGAAGAGCAAAAAGCGGCTCGCGTTACTTGGTGCGTCAGAACTCTCGAAAGATTCTATGCAGGATCCTCAAATGCTGTATACAATATCGTATCAGGTGACGAATCTTGGATATATGCGTACGAACCTGAAACTAAAAACCAGTCACGAGTTTGGGTGTTCGAAAATGTGTTAAAGCCAACAAAAATTTTTCGTTCACGGAGTGTTGCAAAAAAAATGGTGGCCACGTTTGTCTCCAAAACCGGCCATGTTATGACTGTTCCTCTTGAGGGACAAAGAACGGTTAATGCAGAATGGTATGCTAGCATTTGTTTGCCACAGGTCGTTTTTGAACTCCGTAAAGAGAACTGCAACCGCCGCATCATCCTCCATCACGACAATGCGAGTTCTCACACCGCACACGGAACAAAAGAGTTTTTAGAGCAGGAAAACATAGAATTATTAGACCATCCGCCGTAAAGCCCCGACCTAAGCCCTAATGATTTCTATACTTTCCCTAAAATAAAGAATAAATTGCGTGGACAGAGATATGCATCACCTGAAGAAGCTGTGTGCCTTCAAAACGGCCATTTTGGAGACCCCAACTTCCGAATGGAATGGTTGCTTCAATGATTGGTTCCATCGTATGGAAAAATGTGTCAAATTTCGCGGAAAATACTTCAATAAGCAATAAATACATTTTTAAATAGTAATGTTATGTCACTTCCTTGATTCCCGAAATTTTCAGTGCCGCCCTCGTAGTTATGCTGGTTTTCTGTGCCTTGTAGACCGAAACAAAACAATGCAATTACAGCTATTTGAAAGCCGAAATAGGTAAGGTACCTAGTTAAATTTACAGAATTTTATATCACTTATTACCTTCTTATGGAATCTAGTGTTAGTGTAAGTATACTTATTTATCTACTTGAATAGAATAGAATTGAATATTATCCCAATATCATCTCGTGGATGACGTAGATACAATAAAGGGAAATGAAATAGGAAATGGTGGGCAGCATCTTACTTGTAACAGCTTAACACAATAAAAATGGCTGTTTCAATGCCGCCCACCAACCATAAAAACTATGGTAAAAATCTTACATGAGTCTATCTATGAGCGAGGTCTATTTCAGCATTGGCTTTGATAGGCTGTAACGAAAAGAAATGTATGCGATAGTACGTCTTTAATGCAACTAGTCTCTTAATGGCCTAAATTCAACACTAATTCTTTAAATATTTAAGTTTGTAAATTAAGCAAGCTGTATTTCAAATTAAACTGCTTTTTGCCTTTATATAATGTACTCCACAGACTACCGAAGAAGGAACATTTTGGATCACACAAAAATTAAGCAATAATTATTTGTTGCAACATTGTTAAAAAAGTTGGTGACAATCTCTACTCTGTGCGACGGTTTGTCCACATACTATTGTGCGTTTGACTTTGGCAGTATGATGCACATTGTAATAGTGGAGACGAACTGTCCACTATTAACAGACTCCGAGTGGTTTTCTTTAAGGTGGAGAAATGAAACTACTGTTTATGTTTATGAATGTACTGTCGAATGGGATTCGGAATGGAATATCTTTTGCATCGACCTTGCCTATATTTATATGGCTGGCTCACTATTGATTTGCCAATGGTAACAATTAATATTTTGCCTAGCCAATTATATTGCTTATTTTATGACCAATGAAAACTATTTAAAATATACAATTATCTACGTTTCGTTTCCCGGCGTGAGACTTGTTTGTTGTTCACGAAGCTACGTCGCTGGACCGGGCTATATAAGACATGCAGATCGGTGCGCACGCGTAGTCGGCGGGCGGCGGCGGTGTGGAATACAGCTCCGGAACAGCAAGAGGAAACGAACTGCGGCGTTGAAGAAACGGCTCACCATTGGTCGACGGATACGTGACGATAGCGGCGTGTGAAGTCGGTGTGGCGCTGAATGATATTTGCGGCTGCTTCTTGTTTCTTTATAAGAACGTCAAATTATCTATATACAGTCCGCAGTATCTCAGTAGCCAAGAATAATTAGGAAATAAAATGTTTTTTTTTATTTATTCTCGCCTTCCGCGTTATGGTAGCAGCGGAGTATATCTTATTTATTCCCGTTTCGGTTTGATTAATCTGGCTGCTACATCACTCTCCCCCCAGCGAAAGCGTACCGGAGGCTTGACGACTCGCCCGTATTTCGTAGTTTTTAAAATAGGTTTCAACTGGGTTGATGTAGATGATGAAGTTTCAAGCTTCCTCGCTGGTGGTTTTGATGATGATGATGAATCCTCTGCAGTATCCTCGTTAATAATATAGGCTGGCTTTAGTCGGTCGATCGATATAATCGTAGATTTCCTTCCGGGTATTTGTAGTTTAAAAGTCTTGCTATTTCTCTCTAATACTTTATACGGTCCATCGTAGGTAGGTTGAAATTGTTTTTTCATTGCGTCGTTTCTTACAAAAACTTGTTTGCATGTTTTCAAATCTTGGTGAATGAATACTGATTTATTATTTCTGTGTGATTGCATTTCGGTGCATTTCAACGATAAGGCTTTGTTAATTGATTCTCGAAGTTTAGTTACGAAATCGTAATCCATTTCTTGTTTGTTTGACGCTGCTGAACTGAAGAAGTCACACGGCAGCCTTATGCTGCAGCCGTAGGTTAGCTGAGCGGCGCTAAGACTAGTGTCTGCACGCGGTGTTGCTCGTAGTCCGAGTAGCACTGTAGGTAGCTCATCAATCCACTTTGTATGTTGAGATAAACGAGTTTTGAGTGCAGTCTTTAATGTACGATGCCATCGTTCGATTATTCCGTTTGACTGAGGATGGTATGCTGTTGTACGCGTCTTCTGTATTCCCATAGTTTGAAGAAGTTTGAGGAATAGGTTGCTTTCGAAATTCCTTCCTTGATCCGTTGTGATGGTTTTAGGTGATCCGAAACGAGTAATCCAATTTTCATAAATTATCTTCGCGACGGATTCGGCTGAAGTATCATCGGTAGGTATTGCTTCTGGCCATCTTGTTGTTCTGTCGATCATTGTTACGAGATAACGATGTCCTTGCGGTGAAGTAGGTAATGGTCCAACGATGTCAACGTGCAAGTGTTCGAATCTCTCCGTGGGTGGAAATGTAGCTAGACTACTTGATGTATGCCTTTGTACTTTGCATTTTTGGCATTGAATGCATTGCTTCGCCCAGTTGCCAACATCCGCTTGCATTGCAGGCCAAAAGAATTTTTCAGTGATGAGTTTTCTTGTTGTTCTAACACCTGGATGACTAATGTTGTGCAGTGTATTGAAGACTTCGCGACGACATTCTTCTGGTATGTATGGTCGCATGGTTGTCGTTGAGGCTTCACAGTATATAGGTAGATGCGTCATTGGCATTGTAACTTGCTTGATGGACAAGTTACCTTGCTTCGCTAGATGTTTTATGTTGTCACTATCTCTGTCTTGTGCTGCAGCGATCTTATGATAGTCGATTGATGTAGGGCACGTTACACTGTCGATTGGTACGCGACTGAGTGCGTCGGCAACTATGTTGTCCTTTCCACTGATGTGACGTATGTCGGTCGTGAATTCACTTATGAAAATAAGTTGTCTTGCTCTTCGTGGTGTTTCCGATAGTGATGGTTTCTTTGGAAGTACATATGTTAATGGCTTGTGGTCGGTAAAAACGATCAGGTTTCGACCCTCGAACGTTTTTCTGAAGTGCTTGATAGCCATGTAAATAGCGAGTAGCTCTCGGTCGAATGTACTGTAGTTACGTTGAGTATCGGAGAACTTCTTCGAAAAATATCCAAGTGGTTGCCATTTCCCATTGCTGTATTGTTGGAGAACTGCTCCTGCTGAGAGATCGGATGCGTCGCTGAAGATAGCAAGGGTTGCTTCGTGTGATGGGTGAGCGAGTAAAGCTGCATTTTGGATCGCAATTTTACAAGCTTCAAATGCCTTCGTGGCTTCATCGTTCCATTCGATTGACGTTTTATCTTTTTTCTTCGTGTTGTGAAGGTAGGCGTGAAGTGGTGCTTGGATTTCAGCGGCTTTAGGTATGTGTTCTCTGTAAAAATTTATCATCCCAAGAAAACGCCTTAGCTCTTCGATAGTTTTAGGTTTTGCATAATCGATGATTGCTCTGACTTTTTCGGCAGGCGGTTTTATTCCTTCCTTGCTGACGGTGAAACCAAGAAATTGAACTTCTTGCTGTCCAAATATGCATTTCGAAGGGTTGATTGTGATTCCGTTGTCTTCTAATCGCTGTAGCACGGTGCGTAGATGGGTTTCGTGCGTTTCTTTATCAGGGCTTGCAACAAGGAGATCATCAATAAATGCGAAAACGAAATCCAGTCCATGAAGTACTTCGTGTATGAATCTTTGGAAAGTTTGACCTCCGTTCTTTAATCCTGGGATCATTCTTGGGAATTCGAATAATCCCATTGGGGTAATTATTGCTGTCTTCTCTATGTCTTCATCGCGGACTCTTATTTGTTGGTAAGCTCGGTTGAGATCGATGGTGGAGAATATAGTCTTGTCTGATAGTTGATGAGTGAAATCCCTGACTCGCGGTATTGGGTATCGGTCAGGAGTGGTAATAGAATTCAGTCTTCTGTAATCTCCACAAACTCGTAATTCTCCGTTCTTCTTCGGTACAATGTGAATGTGATGTAAAACATTATGATTAGTATGTATTATCAAAATATTAATGGAATGCGAACTAAGTTATCACAATTTTATCGAAATCTGTTGAATTCCAACTATGACGTCATATGCCTGACGGAAACCAACTTGAATAATAATATCTTCGATGGAGAGGTCGTTGACTCCCGCTATAACATCTTTAGAAGAGATCGCGATGACATTAACTCTTCTAAAGAGGACGGTGGTGGCGTCCTTATAGCAGTAAAGAAATCATTCCAAGTTCTCCGACAGGCATATTGGGACAGTAATTTGGAGGATCTCTGGATATCAATTATACCGAAAAATTGTAATGCCCCTAAAATCAATATATGTGTCTGTTACCTTCCTCCCGAATTAAATTGTTTTAAGAGAGATGAATTTTTTTCTAATTGTCAAAAGATATTGTTGAATCACTGTATAGATGACAAAAATATAATCGTTGGAGATTTTAATACACCTGAATATTCTCCTGTCTCTTCTGATACTGACGGGCCATCTTTCACCTCACAAAGTAAGAAACTACTACTCTTACAGGAATTTATGTCAATTTGCAATCTTCACCAGGGTAACCGCACCCCTAATGAAAAAGGCCGATATCTTGACTTAGTACTATCATCAGAAAATTTGTTGACAGTTACAGAAGCTGATACGCTGAGTTTGAAAGATGGACACCACCCTGCTTTGGAATTTGAATTCCCCTCTTTATGTAATACTCCAAAAAATCTAAAACTTAATAACAAAAAACGTTTGAACTTCGCAAGATGTGATTATGACAGCATAAGACATGACTTGGAGTTATTGGACTGGCACAATCTTTTATCGAGCTCTGATGTAGATGAATGTGTAAACATTTTTTATGAACAACTCTTTGTAATTATTAACAAATATACGCCATTAACAGCTATGAGATCTAATAAATATCCCGTTTGGTACAGCAAACCCTTAATAAAATGTATCGAAGAAAAAAATAAATACCACAAACTTTATAAAAAATTCAACAATCCCCGAGATTACGACGTGTTCACTTTACTGCGAGCTAGAGCCAAAAAAATGATAGATCATTGTTATAAAAATTATGTTGCCTCTATTGAAGAATCAATGACTGACAATATAAAGTCATTCTGGACTTATGTGAATAATAGAAAGGGCCGAGTCTCTATTCCAAATGTCATGCAGTTTGGCAACTCTTCTTCTTCGACCGGTCAGGGTGTATGTGAGCTATTTTCAAAGTACTTTGCTTCGGTGTTTGAATCGGATCAGCAACTTAGTAATTCCTCTGCTGCGAGTAACAATAATCTAGAGTCACCTGAGTGTAGTACCATGGACTCCATATCTCACATTAATATATCTGACAGGGACATCATGACGAAGATCAAGCTTCTTGATGCAAGTAAAGGAGCTGGTCCTGACCAAATACCTCCTTCATTTGTTAAACGTTGTGGAAAAGAGCTATGCACACCATTAAGCATCATATTTAACAAATCCCTTACGAATGGAGTTTTTCCCAGTCGTTGGAAGATAGCACATATTGTACCCATTTTCAAAAACGGAGACAAGTCGCGCTGCGATAATTACAGACCCATAAGTATTTTGTCATGTTTCGCAAAGCTTTTCGAGTCCCAAGTACACACTCAGTTATACAGCCATTTTAAGCCTCTGATACCCGAAAATCAACATGGATTCATTAAGGGTAGATCAACTGTCACAAATCTTCTTGTATATAAAAACTACCTGTGCAAGGCTTTTGCCACAGGGGGTCAGGTTGACTCTATCTACACAGATTTCTCGAAGGCCTTCGATAAAGTGAGTCATAGACTACTTTGTAACAAGCTCGCCACCTGTGGTATTCACGGTAGTCTCCTTCGCTGGCTGGCCTCCTATTTGAATAAGAGAAGTCAGTTGGTGGCTTTGAGAGGATACACCTCGACCCCTACTGACATTACGTCAGGCGTGCCCCAGGGGTCACATCTGGGCCCGTTGTTATTTGTTGTCTTCATTAATGACCTCATTAAGAACATATCATGTGAATGTCTATTATACGCTGACGACCTGAAAATATTTAAAACAATAAACTCTTTCGAAGACTGTAATCTTTTACAGAAAGACTTAACTGCTGTTTCTCACTGGTGCAGAAATAATCTAATGTACCTTAATATAGACAAGTGTTTCGTTATTACGTTCACTAACAAGCGTAATGGGATCGTTAATGAGTACAGCATCAACGGCCAGACCCTTGAGAGGTCACATGTTGTCAAAGATCTCGGAATCCTTTTTGATGATAAGCTGACATTTCGCGAACACTACCACCACATAGTGAAAAAAGCGAATCAACTTCTGGGGTTTATTTTTAGATCTACTAAAGACTTCAAGGGCACTCATTCTTTTCTTTACCTTTTCACTACACTCGTCAGAAGCGTTTTGGAATACGGTAGTCCAATATGGTCTCCGCACTACAAAGTTCATATTGAAAATATAGAGAGAGTGCAGCGCAAATGCCTACGGATTTTAAGCTACCGCCAACAGTCGAGGCGCAAAACTCCTGATTATGAAGCTCGTCTCATTAATTTTAATGTACAAAAATTGGAAACACGTCGAAGATATTTTGATTTCGTTTACTTTTATAAAATACTTCACTCCATATTAGACGTTCCTACCTTGCTCGCTGAGATAACTTTTAATATCAAATATAGTGCTCGTAGAGCAAATCAAATAGCACTTTTTACTTTACAAGTGTATCAGAATAATACCTCCTTTTACAACCCCCTGGTTAGGATGGCTCGTCAGTGCAATGAAATAGCCAAGGGTAACCAAACCTTTGACGTTTTTCTACCTAAACTAACTCTTTATATTAATTTGATTAAAAGCATACTGTATCACAAGCCGACAGTCTAATCCCAGCGCTTGGACTCTCGGTCTCCTTATATTTTAACCCTATTATATTCTTATTTAGTATTGTTCATTGTACCTATTATTTAGATTACTGTTCTTGTTAAACCTTAAATTGTGTAGACATATTTAACTCCCTTGTAATTTTTCATGTACACACATTTTTGTGGAATGCAACCTAGTTTATAAATGATTGTTTTTGTATAATTTGTTTAGTAATAGTTGTAATCTGTTGTGTGTGATAATAAATAAATAAATAAATAAATAAATAAGTGGTGATGACCAAGGGCTTTTGCTTGGACGGCATATTCCTTGCTCAATCATGTTTTCGAATTCCTTTCGAACTTGCTCGTATAGGTGTGGTGCGATTGGACGTGCACGACAATGAAGTGGTGGTCCATTGGTGTCGATGAAATGCTCAACGTCGTTCTTCGGTGTTAATTTCATTGAAGTTATTCTTGTGATACCAGGGTATTCTTCGAGGATCTTGTGATACGGTTGTTGCACATCTATGCTTCTTATTGTGGGCAGATTGGTTGCTTGTACAAAAGACTGAGATGCAAGATTGGTTTTCCCGTCGATGATTCTTCTATTTTTGATGTCGACGACCAACTGGTGATGTTGAAGAAAATCAGCACCGATGATTGGTTTGCTGACTTTAGCGACGATAAATCTCCATTTGAATGGTCGGCGTAGATTAAAATCAAGTTCCATTGTTTTTTCTCCATATGTAGGAATAACCGTATTGTTTGCTGCATAGAGTTGAAAATCTAGTGGCTTCAACTTCTGTCCTTGCTTCGGCGGTAACACTGAGATATTTGCTCCGGTGTCGATAAGGAAAGTAAGCTTGCTTTTTTTATCGGTGACGAAAAGACGGTAGGACTTTGCTGTTACGCTGGATCCCGTCGCATCGAGCGTACTAGTTAGTTTTCCGTATTCGTATTTTCATTTTTGAATGTACACGGTGCTGTGCATTTTCTTGCCTCGACCCCGAAACGTCGATGATAGTAGCAGTAAGGGGATCTTGATGTTGAGCTTATTCGACTTCTACTTGCAGAGCGGTTGCGACGAAAAGGTGATCTTCGGTGTTGCTGATTGCGCTGGTTGTACTGTTGCTGGTAAAAGGTATGATGCTGGGAAGCTTTGAGCGCGGCGACTTCGAATGATAGCTTCCGAATTTCTTCGAGAAGAAACTGGGTATCATTGGCCTTTGTTGAAGTGCCTTCGATGATCGATATGTGTGAGCTACTGCTGTTTTCGATCATCTTGTCCGCCAGGAGTGCCAGTTCGTCGAGCTTCGTCTGCGTGCTGAATGTTTCGCTGACTGCTATTACCGATCGAATATGTGGTGGTAGGTGGTTTACCCACATTAGCCGTAGTGTTGAATCCGGAACTTTATCTCGCGCCAAAGTACGCATTTTGCGTAGGAGTTGTGTGGGTTTCTGGTCTCCAAGTTCTATTTCTGATAGAAGTTTTTGTAGCTGTCGACTGTCGGATTCTTCGTATGCGGAGATCAGCCGATCCTTCAGTGAATTATACTGGTCGACTGCTGGTGGGTTGTACAACAGGTCCGCAATTTGTTCGATGTCTTGTTTCTCAAGTTGGGCTATCACCATCTGTGCTAATTGCGCTTGGCTCTTCTTTAAACCATTCGTTGCGGCTTCAAAACTGACGAACCAAAGTCGTGGTTTGTCTCTCCAAAACGGTGGTATTCTTAACGATAGAGATATACCGGCGATTTCTGGTTCCTTTACCGGGTTTGATGTATATGTGTTTGCCTCCTGCTCCATAATGACGGCTTGATTACACTGATTTTATATAAACTGAAGTCTTCCTTCTCGGTGTTCGTACGGGTTTCCTTCGCGGTGTTCGTGCAATAGTAGTGGTACGTCGCAGGGTGTTCCTTCTTGGTGTTCGTACCGGATCTTCCCCCCTCGGTGTTCGTACGGGGTCACCACTGTAATAGTGGAGACGAACTGTCCACTATTAACAGACTCCGAGTGGTTTTCTTTAAGGTGGAGAAATGAAACTACTGTTTATGTTTATGAATGTACTGTCGAATGGGATTCGGAATGGAATATCTTTTGCATCAACCTTGCCTATATTTATATGGCTGGCTCACTATTGATTTGCCAATGGTAACAATTAATATTTTGCCTAGCCAATTATATTGCTTATTTTATGACCAATGAAAACTATTTAAAATATACAATTATCTACGTTTCGTTTCCCGGCGTGAGACTTGTTTGTTGTTCACGAAGCTACGTCGCTGGACCGGGCTATATAAGACATACAGATCGGTGCGCACGCGTAGTCGGCGGGCGGCGGCGGTGTGGAATACAGCTCCGGAACAGCAAGAGGAAACGAACTGCGGCGTTGAAGAAACGGCTCACCATTGGTCGACGGATACGTGACGATAGCGGCGTGTGAAGTCGGTGTGGCGCTGAATGATATTTGCGGCTGCTTCTTGTTTCTTTATAAGAACGTCAAATTATCTATATACAGTCCGCAGTATCTCAGTAGCCAAGAATAATTAGGAAATAAAATGTTTTTTTTTATTTATTCTCGCCTTCCGCGTTATGGTAGCAGCGGAGTATATCTTATTTATTCCCGTTTCGGTTTGATTAATCTGGCTGCTACACACATAATGAATGTTTTATTTTGTTTTACTTCATTTGTTTATAACTTATCTAATATATAAAAATTTATATTGTTTGTTCGCATTTTATGCGCTGCCATTGTTCCTCAGCTTGTGGTAAAACTATGTCAACATATTGCTTCCGCGAAGGTTATTGGCATAGTTGAACCCGGTAGGTGGCGCTCTTGTAGAATCCAGATATCACCCGCACGAAGCCGGGGCAGATCGCTAGTATTATATATTAATTATAGCTTTTTACACTCCTTCTCCATATAAACTTTAACTTTGCCAAATCTCATACTCTGTACGCGCGTACTTAAAAAAGGGTTACATAATTTTTCCTTCAAGTAATAATATGTATATAAATAAAATAAAATAGCCTTTTATTCCTCATTATTTACACTTAATAAATTTGTTAGAATTCATTTTTAATAGCTTTAAGTACATGCATTATTATAATATTAGAGTTACATTCAATTGGAAAATTCATTTACACTCAAAATCAATTTAATAACTTTAAGTACATGCATTACTATAATGTAAGAATTATATTTAATTGGAAATTTCATTACACTGAATAAATTTGTTACAAAAATCAATTTAATAACTTTAAGTACATACACGCATTGTTATAATATTTGAATTACATTTAATTGGAAATTTCATTACACTGAATAAATTTGTTACAAAATCAATTTAATAACTTTAAGTACATGAATAATTATAATATTAGAATTTCATTCAATTGGAAATTTCAATATGCATTTAATTTGCTTATATTTAGATAATTTAATTTTTATATAAAACAATTTTGACAATTGTTTCACAGATTTATATTATTAGTATTTTCTTTTAAATAATATTTTCTTACAATATAGATCTTATAATTTTTTTTAAATAGATTCGTAATTATTTTTAGTACTTATTTATTTTTTTAAGTATATTTATAATTTTAACTTATTATACCTGTTATTTTGAGGACCCCTCTTCGGGTAAAGGCCTCCTCCAGAGCTGCCCATACTTGTCTGTCCTGTGCCTTGTTCATCCAGTTTTTCCCAGCTGTAGCCATCACCTCGTCGACCCATCTTTCTTTTGGCCTGCCTTTTGCACGTGTTTCAGCTGGTCCTTGCCACTCTGTCACCGATTTAGTCCATCTTTGGTCTGAAATGCGTGCTAAATGTCCTGCCCATCGCCATTTCAACCTTTGACCGTGTTGAAGAACGTCTATGTTTTGTTCCTTAAATCCGAGTTCCTTACTCTGTCTTTTAATTTTATGTTAAGAATTGTCCTTTCCATTCGTCTTTGACATTTTGCGATCTTGTCACTGTTGTGTTTGTTAAATATCCATGTTTGGCATCCATAAGTAAGGCAGGGCAGTATACAATAATCTATTATCTTCTTTTTGAGATTTATAGGTAGAGTCGATTTTAGAATCTCCTTGTGTGTCTAGAATTTACCCCAACTTGATATTATTCTCCTTTGGACTTCGTCTACGTGTCTCGTTCTTTTTAATGATAATAATTTACCGAGATACACATATTCATCAACATATTCTAATGGAATGTTGTTCACGATTATAGGTATTTGAACTCTATTCGTCATTACTTTGGTTTTAATAGTGTTTAGTTCTAGGCCTACATTTTGACTGGCGTTGTTTAGCTCATTTACCATCGATTCTATCTGTTTTGCTGACTCGGAAAATATTACTATATCATCTGCAAATCTAAGATGACTGAAGTAATTCCCTTTTATATTTATACCCTTATTTGTCCATTTTAAGCCTTTGATGATGTGTTCCAATACTGCTATAAAGATTTTTGGTGAAAGTGGATCTCCGTGTCTCACTCCTCTTTTTATTGGGAAGGCTGGTCCGGTTCGGTCTAATTTGACTCTACTAGTGCTCTTATGGTAGATGTATTTTAGGATGTTTATGTATTGTTGGGGATTTTTTTGGTTTTCTAGAGCTTTCCAAATGCTGTTGTGTGAAATAGAGTCGAAAGCTTTAGCAAAGTCGATAAACTTATATATATATATATATATATATATATATATATATATATATATATATATATATATATATATATATATATATATATATATATATAGATTCCATATATTACCACTGGTATCTCAACCCGATACGACTTTCCCAAGCGATTTTTCCGGACCGATTTGAGTTAGGGACTTTCAAGGAAAGAGCTTACTCCTTTCTAGAAGGCAGGCAACAGAACTGCAATTTCCCTGGTGTTGCAGTTGTTCATTGGCGGCGGTAGTCACTTAACATCAGGTGACCCGTATGTTCGTTTAATCCTCCTTTACAAAAACAAAAAAACACGCATTTGATGCGCTCCGGGCAATAATATTACGAGTACTTATTCTGTGGCTCAAGTCTCTTTTGTAATAAGTAACGTGGAACAAGAAAAGTGTTTTAAGGGGGACAATATCATTTATCAGAATCTTAACCTTTTTATAGAGGCACTCAGTGAAGATTCTTGGTCCATTAATGCTAAAACTTTTGAAAGTTACTTTTCATTAGCTCTACGTAGAACTCGAGTTTTAGTTTTGTAGTAACGTCGTCTGGTTTAGGTTTCTATAGCATAGTTTCAAAAAATTAATGCTGTAATACCATTACCGCCACTGTTACAGCCTATCAAAAGTCCACTGCTTAACACAGTCCTCCCCCATAGATTGCCTCATAAGGGGGATATTTGATATACTTTGATATTTCAGTTTTCTATTCTAGTTATTATCAGGAAGAAGTTGCTACCCATCTCTTGGCTTGATTCTCTCTATCGCCTACTACGACACCCATGAAGCATTATGTAGTAGTGGATTTTCCTATACTTTGACTAATAATAATAATAATAATAAATTAGCGTAGGGAATTGACGACCCCATCGCCCGCTGACGTAACAGTTAAGTGACAAAACTGCTACGTCAACGCAGTCAGTCAGCGCCTTGCGAGAGGTGTGAGCGCCGTGCCTCGGCAGAATTCAGGGTGCAAAGGCCCGTTTGTGCTTATGGCCGTCCACGATACGGTGCCGGGCCTGGGCGTCTCCCGTTTATGGACGCCCATGTTATGGATGATGGAGAAAAAGATAGTGCGCAAAGGGCCGCTGCCTGGAGGTCGCCAGGGCGCGTCTGGAGCTGGCGCTGGACGCGACAGCATGCGGGCCGCCAGCCGAGCGCGGGGTGTTGCAAGACCACCTAGCAGCCCCCCGCATCCATCATCCCCACCAGAAGGCTTGGTGTCGGCTGGGTCTTCTCGGACTCAGCAAGCGGCACCCGCCGCTGGTGGAGCACGTCGCATGCATTGGTCTAAATCAATGAATGAAAACGCACTGCGGGCGTATTTTAGGCCAAAAGGGGAAGAAACTGGATGTTTGGCGTATCGGGCTCGGATGCATCGCTTTTTTGCAGAGCTGGAGCCATCTCTATCCGTCACTGAGCAAAACCTGGCAGACCGAGTTAGGTACATCCTGCGCTCCAACATATTTGGTGACGCCGAACTCGAGCGACTACGACGTGAGGCTATTCCTTCATCGAATGGAAATGCTACGGCTGGGAATGCGGCGCCACTAGATGCGCAACAAACTGCATATGTGGATGCTGCCGTCAACATTCCATTTGTGGCTAATTCAGACGATGATGGAATAGTCTCCCACGAACTAGAGAAAATGAGGAGCATATTGGAAGAGTCGATGCTGGAAACGCGCAGCATGCCTCTCGAAAATCGACCACGACTTCCCCGCATACCCCTTAGCAAGCGAAATCGGGCTGTCGTGCGGGCTCTTAACCCAATGCTGGTCACCTATTTGGAAGCCAGCCGGGACCTTTGCGAGACGGATTCAATTCTTTTTGGCGCCACACTGGCAGTATGCCGTATTATTGGCGCCAAACTTCCCGTGGCTGGACGTGCTACTCAAAAAAGTAGCGCCATCCCAGCCTGGATAAAAAAGAATTGAGGACCGTATCGCAAAGGCAAGGGCCCTTATCGGCAGACTGACAAGCTTCAGGTCGGGTAATAATAGACCGAGGATTATGCGCACCGTTAGGATGGCGTTTGCTGGGACAAATATCAGTTTGTTCCAGCCGGATATCACGCAAAAACTAACGGAGCGCATAGATGACCTGAAGCAAAAAATCGCTGCTTGGGGGAAGCGGATTCGACGATTTAGCGAGAGGTCAAGGCGGTTCAACCAGAATCCTCTCTTCCAGAGTGATCAGAAGAGGCTCTATAAATCATTGGAGCGACCAGAGGTATGTGGAGCGGGCCCAGGACCGGATCAGGCTGACACTGTCGCATTTTGGCGTGGCCTGTGGTCAGAGCCCGTAAACCACAGCGAGGGCCTTTGGATGGAAGTTGTGGCGAGCCAGAGTGCAAGTGTTACGCCTATGGACCCCGTCACCATTACGCCTGAAGACGTGGCTGAGGCGGTCCGTAGGGCCCCGAACTGGAAAAGTCCGGGGCTCGACGGGCTGCATCATTACTGGCTGAAGGGGTTCGTAGTGTGTCACGCTGTGCTCGCCCGACAGTTTCAAGAGGCTCTCGATCAGAAGTCGCTCCCGAGCCTCTTCACTACTGGGATCACTCATTTGGTTCCTAAAGATCAGGATACCACAGACCCGAGCAAATACCGCCCCATCACGTGTCTACCCACCATATATAAGACACTGACATCCATTTTGAGCGCGAGAATCACTCGTCACCTGGAGCTAAATCAGGTGATGTCACGCGCTCAAAATGGATGCCGGGGCGGTGGTCGTGGAACCAAGGAACCACTCCTCATTGACGCGGTCATTGGCAAAGTGGTGAAACGCAACCGTGGGAATTTCTCCGCCGCCTGGATAGACTACAGAAAGGCATTCGACTCGGTGCCCCATACATGGCTAAAGAGAGTCCTCCAGCTGTACAAAATTGACTGTACAGTTGGAGACTTCCTCGAGCAGTGTATGGGGCAATGGAGTACGATCCTTTGCTATCTGGGCGAGCGGATGATGGCTGCGGAGAACCACATAAGGATAAGAAGGGGGAACTTAACGCCCTGGATAGAAAAGTCCGCACTACCATGACGTCCCACAGGATGCATCATCCGAGATCGTCGGTAATGAGGCTGTACTTGCCGCGAAAGCATGGTGGGCGTGGCTTCTTGAGCGCGTTCACCATTCATAATCGCGAAGTGTGCAGCCTCCGTAATTACTTCCTGGCGAGATCGGATGATCCATTCTATAAGGACGTCATTTCTAGTGATAAAGGACTTACCCCTCTATCCTTAGCCAACGAGCAATGGCAAGACCCGGCAGTGCAGACAATTTCCGACCGGGAGAACGTATGGAAGGAGAACGAGCTCCACGGGAGGTTCTACAAGGCTCTACATGAGCCTTTCGTAGACACAGTAGCCTCCCTCCACTGGCTACGCTTTGGTGATCTCTTCGGGGGAAACCGAGGGTTTTGTCTGTGCAATACAGGATCAGGTTATTAAGACCAACAACTATCGGAGATACATCCTAAAGGATGGCAGCGTCGACATCTGGCGAGCTTGTCGCCATCCCGGTGAGTCACTTAGGCATGTCATCTCCGGTTTTTCGGCGCTTTCTAACTCTGAGTACTTGCACAGGCACAACCTAGTAGCCAGAATTCTTCACCAGGAGCTCGCTCTGAAATACGGTCTCGTGGATCGGAAATTGCCGTATTACAAGTACTTGCCGGAAGCCGTGCTCGAAAATGATCGCGCCAGGCTCTATTGGGACCGGGCCATCATCACAGACAGGACTATTCTTGCGAATAAGCCTGATATTGTGCTGATGGACCGGGCACAGTCAAGGATATTTTTGGTCGACATTACCATTCCGTATGACGAGAACCTCGTGAAAGCCGAAACAGACAAGCAAACAAAATATCTGGACCTGGCTCACGAGGTGACTGACATGTGGGTTGGTCTGGGGACCGAAATTATTCCTGTAGTCGTCTCTGCAAACGGGCTAATCCCAGTCAGCCTCTCGGGTCATCTGAGGCGACTGGGACTATGTGGCGGACCGCTCCGGGCTCAAATGCAGAAGGCGGTGCTCCTCGATACCGCCCGCATCGTCCGCCGGTTTCTTTCCCTTTCCCCCTAACCCTCGGCCGTTTGGTCTCCCCTGCCGAGGGCCTCCATCTGGTTGGGCTATTATTTATTTATGTATTTTTATATTTATTTTATGTTATTGATATATATGTATATGTCGCGTCAAAGGTGTTTTCTTCACGCTCCGACATGGTTTTATGTAAATGTGGGCACACGAACGAAAGATGATTTAAATCAAAAATAACTTTATTTAGACTAGTGGTTGTACACGAGAAACAAACGCGTGCGTCGGTAGCGAGCGTCCGCCCCGGCTGTCCGAACTCAACTGCCACAACACTCGGTCCCTTCTCTAGCCCTCGCTGCATCCCCTCTACCGACGATCGTGTCCAAGCGGTAGGGCGCGCTTGCGTTCCCGGTAACGATATTATTGATTCGCAAAGCTAATTGTTAGATGGCGCTGCTTGTAGCACTATGGCGCCATCAATCCACGACACGGCCATCCCTGACTAGCACCCGTCCTCGGGTGCAGTGCCTGTGGACAAAATATGCTCAGAGAATAACTTAGCTCGGCTATCCTGCCAACGAAAACGAGGTTGATTCCAGATGGTACTTTATTTCTCCTAAATCTAAGTACAGTAATCAACTGCCATGATTGACAAAGCCCTATTATTAGGGCTTCTTACACAGTGCTTCCTGCACTACACGATTTATTGTGAAAGGCCCGATCAACAAGTTCCAACACAGCAATTCTGACAATTTTGTTACTCTTTACCATAATTCATAAGCAATGAATACTCAACTCGTGAAACTTTCATTGAAATCTGTGCACCAGCACAGACCAGAATCGCACCAACGATTCTTTACATATCTGCCGTCACATATGCCAGAATCGCACCAACGATTCTCCACATATCTGCCGCCACATACGCCACAACACATGAGGGGCTCTGTGCACCAACACAGGCCAGAATCGCACCAACGATTTCCTACAGACCCATCGCCACATGTTACTCATGAGGTGCGGTCTACAGTTTCGAGTATGAGTATACATGCCATTCTTAATTAGATTTGGTTTCACTATCGCTGTCATCAACTATGACGTCTAATTCTCGAGGAACTTGGTGATCGGGGACCTTCCTCACACGATCATGGGGGTATTTGTAGGTTCGCTTAGAGTCAAGCGCCTTTAGTAGGTATCTATCCCCATCTAACACATCGATAATCTTAAAAGGACCTTTAAACTTGGGATCTAATTTCGTTTGATTCCTCTCCTCATTTTCAATTAAAACGTAATCATTGATAGCTAATTTACAAACCCGAGCCTTATTTCGGTCAAATCGATTTTTATCATAATTGGCATTTTTTTTGATATTCTGTGTCGCGTGCTCTCTGATCTCATCCAAGTTAAATTCTGTCACATCATCATCATCGGCGGTTACTAAACTAAGCGGTCGTGCTACCCTTCCTATCATCAACTCTAGAGGGCTATATTTAGTCACCCTATTAATAGTAGAGTTCATAGCCAGCTGAACCTCTCCTAATGCGTCCTGCCAAGAACGGTCACGACTAGTCTCTACCGCTGTTAAGATACTCTTAAGCGTACTCATTACCCTCTCGACCTGACCATTTGCACGGCTGCCTCCAGCAGCTATCAGGTGCAACTCGATGCTATTAGAAGTACAGAAACTAGAAAAATCTTTGCTTGCGAAACAACGACCCTGATCTGCTATTATGCGTTTCGGTGCACCAAACAGAGCTATACAGAAATTAATAGCACGAATACTACTATTAGTGTCGATGTTTAGCGAATGACGAAGTAGCACAAATTTGGTAAACGCATCTAATATGACAAACACGTACTCCTTGATGTCATTTTTCCCAGATAATTTACCAGAAGCGTCAATATGGATTGTGTGCCATGGGATATTGAACTTGGGAATCGGGTGCAGTTCTGCTTGAACTTTACCCGAGTGGGGCTTCGCTACTTTACATGTGATGCAGTTGTCCACAAATTTCCTCACATATTTCGACATGCCTTCGAACCAGTAGTGTTCGTAAATCTTTTCGAGAGTTTTCTCCCATCCTAAGTGCATGACAGACTCATGGACGTTATTAATAGCAGACCACCTAAGCGATCTAGGTACAATAGGCAGCCATCGAGTGCGACCGTTACGCTGAATTTGGCGATATAGAATGTTTTTACGAACTTCGTAGGTTTTGCGAGTTTCCTCAGGAAAAACTTCGTTACGAAGATCAGAAACGATCTTACTAATCTCTTCGTCCTTTTCCTGTTCAGCTTGCAACCAGTTACTAGAAAGCTCAGCTAAATCGATACGCTTTTGTTCCACACGAGTGAAAGCCACTTTGGGCTTAGGGAGGGGATTTCTAGACAGGAAGTCTACATGGCTCATCCTACTGCCTTCACGATGGACGATATCAAACTCAAATGACTGCATGTAGGCCCACCAACGATGAACTCGTGGAGACAAGTCAGTTTTGCTTTTAGAAGCTTTAACAGAACTGCAGTCTGTCACAACGGTAAACTTACGACCTAGCAAATAATGTCGAAAATGCTTTATGGCATTGAACACAGCTAACGTTTCTAACTCAAATGAATGAAACTTTGATTCGGCTGGGGAGGTACGACGACTATAATAAGCAACCACATGTTGTATCCCATTAATCTTTTGAATAAAAATAGCACCATATCCTTCAGCACTAGCATCGGTGTGTAACTCTATTGGATGTGCAGGATCAAATATCGTTAGAATAGGCTTACTGGTTAAATAAGAAATAATTTTCTGACGAACAGCCTCATGGCTAGGTTCCCACTCAATGGACCTGTCCTTGCCACTCGTTAGACGAAATAGAGGAGCCATCGTTTTTGAGAACTGTGGCACAAATTGTCTGAAATAAGTGGCCAGCCCTATGAACTGTCTTAGCTGAGTGATGGTTTTAGGCGGGGGGAAGTCTGGACAAAGCTGCAATTTTATTTGGGTTGGGACTGATTTGGCCGTTCTCAACAACAAAGCCTAAATATTCTACCCGTCGCTTAAGAAAGGAACACTTAGCAAGATTTAGGGAGAAACCAGCTTTTGTTAATTTATCTAGCACAGTGCGAAGACGAAATAAATTCTCCTCCACAGACGATCCTATCACTAAAATGTCGTCGACGTATGTCACAGCATAGCTGTTAGCAAGATCGCCTAATGCCTTCATCACTGCACGTTGATAAACTGAGCTGGCATTTTTCAAACCGAACGGCATGGTCAAATATTCCCACTGACCATCAGGTGTGACGAATGCAGTGCGCTGTATCGATTCAGGATGCACTGGAATCTGGTGATAGCCTGACAACATATCGAGACACGTGAACCATGTAACACCACCTAACCTAGATATAAGGTCCTCTATCAACGGCAGTGGAAACCTATCCGATACAGTGTTGTCGTTCAGCTCCCTGTAGTCGACACACATGCGATCTGAACCATCTTTCTTCTTGACAAGCAACACTGGACTAGAAAAGGGTGAACAGCTTGGCCTAATAATACCTGCTTCCTCTAGTTCACGAACTTTAGCAGTAACAACTTCACGTTCGTTTGCACTAAGCCTATAAGGGCGACGTTTAACCGTTCGACTAGGATCTATAAGCCCGATTTGCAACTGTCCTGTCGTTACACGGGATTTAGGTACACCATTAGAAAACGAAGATGAATATTCTGACAAAAGATCCATTAATTGGGAACGAAATTCTGGCGGAACGTCTGTGTCAACTTTATTTGAATCAATTTGATAATTAGTATCCGTCTTGGGCTTATTTGAAGCATCACATAATCTCACAACCTTATCACGACACAAAACAACGCTATGAGACGTCATACTAACGTTGAACCCCTGATCTAAAATCTCGCGGCCGATTAAGATATCATTTTTAAGACAACTATCCGGTACAACATGAAATAATATCTCTAACCGTAAATCGTTAATTATAACTTCAGATAAAATTTGTAGAGTACTTTGTACGCTAACGTGACCGATTCCGGTTAAATTTACAATATTATTTACTCGCTTGCCACTAAACTTTGACGCAACACAATCTTTGATCAGAGAGCATTCGGCACCAGAATCGTAGTAAAATGGGTATGACTCACCAGCATTCATCAGCACACCGCTGGGATTGCTGACATAACAAACGTCAACACGTCGCTCACTGGTTGCCGCTGCGGCAGGCGCTACCCCAGAACTGCTTGATCCACCCGCCGCGCTGGTGCCCGCACTATTACTTCGTGGACATTTTGCTGCAAAATGTCCGGCGTTGCCGCATCGAAAGCAGATGATGTCCAAACGCTGTTTTGGTCCTGAAGAACTTGACGCCGAGATGGTGGTATTGGCTGTTTTGCTTTTCACCTCATTTCTTGATCGACAGTCAGATGCTCGATGACCTAGTTTACCACAGTTGTGACACTTCAGCGTTGTCGACTGAAACTTGGATCGCTTGAACTCTGGAACGGCGTCGGTTGAGTTAACCGTTGAAGCTTTCCTTTTCAAAAACGAGAGCGCTTGAAGTTCACACTGCAGCTTGTTCCTGTTGTTGACTTCGGTAGTAAACACCAGCCTCTGAATACGCCCATCAAATTGTGCCATGTGAGCAAGCACCGTAGATATGGCAATCTGCTCAGTGCTCATGTTTTGCCAGCGTGATGTGAGCGTTGAAAGCAATCGGGCAGCGTACGCGGCATAACATTCACCTTCCTTGGGCTTGCCATTCATCATTTTGACAAGAGTAGCGGCTGGTGTGTCCACACAATCGTACCGGGATAAAAACAGGCTTTTGAAGTCACACCATGTCATCCCCGCAAACGACACTTGCGCCAGCCAACGTGAAGCACTACCTTTCAGAGCCTTGCTTAGGGTAATTATTAGAGCACTTCCCCGAAGCGGTACCTCCGATAGGCACAGATCCGCTGTAGTACACCAGGCACGTGCGTCTACATCCGGCTTATCAGGGTCAAATTCAGGCAGAGAAATATACTTGGTACCTGCCGGGTCCTTGATGGCTTCTATCAAGGACATCATATTCTGGTTTTGAGCAGCCAGCAGCTCCCGAAGCATGTTCTCGTCGCACCGTGACGACATCGCTCCAGTCTCCGTGTTTTCTTCAACTCGGGTGTATCCCACTTCTGATGTCGCGTCAAAGGTGTTTTCTTCACGCTCCGACATGGTTTTATGTAAATGTGGGCACACGAACGAAAGATGATTTAAATCAAAAATAACTTTATTTAGACTAGTGGTTGTACACGAGAAACAAACGCGTGCGTCGGTAGCGAGCGTCCGCCCCGGCTGTCCGAACTCAACTGCCACAACACTCGGTCCCTTCTCTAGCCCTCGCTGCATCCCCTCTACCGACGATCGTGTCCAAGCGGTAGGGCGCGCTTGCGTTTCCGGTAACGATATTATTGATTCGCAAAGCTAATTGTTAGATGGCGCTGCTTGTAGCACTATGGCGCCATCAATCCACGACATATATTTATCTTTTCATTTTAATTTATAATTATATATTTATAGAACCCAACCAGATGAGAAAACTATATAGATACCCCATAATAATAATAGTAATAAGAGAAAGCAGAAGGCGGTGCTCCTCGATACCGCCCGCATCGTCCGCCGGTTTCTTTCCCTTTCCCCCTAACCCTCGGCCGTTTGGTCTCCCCTGCCGAGGGCTCCCATCTGGTTGGCTCTTATTTATTTATGTGGTTTTTGTATTAATTTTATTGATATTTATGTATATTTATCTTTTCATTTTAATTTATAATTATATATTTATAAAACCCAACCAGGTGAGAAAATTATATAGATACCCCAATAGTAATAATAACGGCGTAGGGAAGTGACGACCCCATCGCCCGCTGACGTAACGGTTATGTGACAAAACTACTACGTCAGCGCAGTCAGTCAGCACCTTGCCAAGAGGTATTAGTGCCGTGCGTCGGCAAAAATTGAAGGAGCAAAGGCCCACTTGTGCACATGGCCCCACCATGAGAGGACGCCGGGTCTGGGCGTCACCCGTTAAATGACTCCCACCACTATGGATGATGGAATACGGAAGAACGCGCAAAGGGCCGCTGCCTGGAGGTCGCCAGGGCGCGTCTGGAGCTGGCGCTGGACGCAACAGCATGCGAACCGCCAGTAGAGCGAGAGGTGCTGCACGACCACCCATCAGCCCCTCGCATCCATCATCCCTACCAGATGGCTTGGTTTCGGCAGGGTCTTCGCGGGCCCAGCAATCGGCACCCGCCACTGGAGGAGTACGCCGCATGCGATGGACAATCGAAATGAATACTAACGCATTGCGGGCGTATTTTAGGGCGAAAGGGGGAGAAGTTGGAGGTTTGGCGTATCGGGCTAGGATGCATCGCTTTTTTGCAGAGCTGGAGCCATCTCTACCCGTCACTGAGCAAAAAACCTGGCAGACCGAGTTCGGTACATCCTGCGCTCCAACATATTTGGTGACGCCGAACTCGAACGACTACGACGTGAGGCTGTTCCCTCATCGAATGGAAATGCTACGGCTGGGAATACGGCGCCACTAGATGCGCAGCAAACTGCATATGTGGATGCTGCCGTCAATATTCCATTTGTGGTTAATTCAGACGATGATGGAATTGTCTCCCACGAACTAGAGAAAATGAGGAGCATATTGGAAGAGTCGATGCTGGAAACGCGCAGCATGCCTCTCGAAAATTGACCGCAACTTCCCCGCATTCCCCTTAGCAAGCGAAATCGGGTTGTCGTGCAGGCTCTTAACCCAATGCTGGTGACCTATTTGGAAGCCAGGCGGGACCTTTGCGAGACGGGCTCAATTCTTTTTGGCGCCGCACTGGCAATATGCCGTATTATTGGCGCCAAACTTCCCATGGCTGGACGTGCTACTCAACAAGGTAGCGCCATCCCAGCCTGGAGAAAAAGAATCGAGTACCGTATCGCAAAGGCAAGGGCCCTTATCGGCAGACTGACAAGCTTCAGTTCGGGTAATAATAGACCGAGAGTTGTGCGCACCGTTAGAATAACGTTTGCTGGGACAAATATTAGTTTGTCCCAGCCGGATATCACGCAGAAACTAACGGAGCGTATAGATGACCTGAAGCAAAAAATCGCTGCTTGGAGGAAGCGGATTCGACGATTTAGCGAGAGGTCAAGGCGGTTCAACCAGAATCGTCTCTTCAGAGTGATCAGAAGAGGCTCTATAAATCATTGGAGCGACCAGAGGTATGTGGAGCGGGCCCAGGACCGGATCAGGCTGACACTGTCGCATTTTGGCGTGGCCTGTGGTCAGAGTCCGTAAACCACAGCGAGGGCCCTTGGATGGAAGTTGTGGGAGCCAGAGTGCAAGTGTTACGCCTATGAACTCCGTCACCATAACGCCTGAAGACGTGGCTAAGGCGGTCCGTAGGGCCTCGAACTTGAAAAGTCCGGGGCTCGACGGGCTGCATCATTACTGGCTGAAGGGGTTCGTAGTGTGTCACGCTGTGCTCGTCTGACAGTTTCAAGAGGCTCTCGATCAGAAATGACTCCCGAGCCTCTTCACTACTGGGATCACTCACTTGGTTCCTAAAGATCAGGATACCACAGACCCGATCAAATACCGCCCCATCACGTGTCTACCCACCATATATAAGACACTGACATTCATTTTGAGCGCGAGAATCACTCGTCACCTGGAGCTAAATCAGGTGATGGCACGCGCTCACCATGCATAATCGCGAAGTGTGCAGCCTCCGTGATTACTTTCTGGCGAGATCGGATGATCCATTCTATAAGGACGTCATTTCTTGTGATAAAGGACTTACTTCTCTATCCTTAGCCAACGAGCAATGGCAAGACCCGGCAGTGCAGAGCATTTCCGACCGGGAGACCGTATGGAAAGAGAACGAGCTCCACGGGAGGTTCTACAAGGCTCTATATGAGCCTTTCGTAGACACAGTAGCCTCCCTCCACTCGCTACGCTTTGGTGATCTCTTCGGGGAAACCGAGGGTTTTGTCTGTGCAATACAGGATCAGGTTATTAAGACCAACAACTATCGGAGATACATCCTAAAGGATGGCACCGTCGACATCTGTCGAGCTTGTCGCCATCCCGGTGAGTCACTTAGGCATGTCATCTCCGGTTGTTCGGCGCTTTCTAACTCTGAGTACTTGCACAGGCACAACCTAGTAGCCAGAATTCTTCACCAGGAGCTCGCTTTGAAATACGGTCTCGTGGATCGGAAATTGCCGTATTACAAGTACTTGCCGGAATCCATGCTCGAAAATGATCGCGCCAGGCTCTATTGGGACCGGGCCATCATCACAGACAGGACTATTCTTGCGAATAAGCCTGAGGGCACAGTCAAGGATATTTTTAGTCGAGATTACCATTCCGCATGACGAGAACCTCGTGAAAGCCGAAACAGATAAGCAAACAAAATATATGGATCTGGCTCACGAGGTGACCGACATGTGGGGTGGTCTGCCGACCGAAATTATTCCTGTAGTCGTCTCTGCAAACGGGCTAACCCCAGTCAGCCTCTCGGGTCATATGAGGCGGCTGGGACTACGTGGCGGACCGCTCCAGGCTCAAATGCAGAAGGCGGTGCTCCTCGATACCGCCCGCATCGTCCGCCGGCTTCTTTCCCTTTCCCCCTAACCCTCGGCCGTTTGGATTCCCCTGCCGAGGGCCTCCATCTGGTTGGGCTTTTATTTATATATGTATTTTTATATTTATTTTATATTATTGATATTGTTACGCGCTCAAGTCGATGATACACTAGCGCCATCTAGTGTCAGGAACGAGAGCGAGGGGAGCTTTGCAGTAAATGACATCACAAATCTTTCAACCGACAGCGCCACCCGAAGAACTAAGTTTCTGGAAAATCTACACTCGAATACTCGTTGCCTGGCGCGCATTTACTTGAATGTTCGGGACGCTTCTTTGCTAATTATATAAATAGGCGCTGCAAGATGCGATCGGGGCAGTGTTGATTTGGCGAAACAAGCGAAGCTTCAGAGCGGAATAAAGTGAATTAGTGTGTTTAATTATTAGTGTTTTTAACTTTAATTTGTGTAAAGTAAATTAAAGTGTTAATTTAGGTAATTTTATCGGCAATTTTTATTGTCACGAACCTCAAGCTCGTAACAATTGGTGTCAGAAGTGGGATAAAATCGTGCCGATTTTACCTAAGGAGGAAACGGAGGGTGTCCGTACCCGAAGTCAACGACAGCAGGAGACGGACCAACGAAGATTTGGTGGGGCAACGCCACAGACGTCCGAGGGCCAGCCACCGGCTGCAGGCCCGTCGGTTGCTCCTACATCTGCAGCACCTGACTTAGGTGCTCTGATGGTGATGCTGCAGGAGCAGGCTCGCCGACAGGAGGAACAGGCTCGCCGACAGGAGGAACAGGTCCGTCAGTTGAAAGAGCAGCTGCAGAGCGGACAGGAGGAACAGGCCCGCCGATTGGAAGAGCAGCTGCGGGGCGGACAAGTGGAGCAGGCCCGCCGACAGGAGGAACAGGCCCGTCGGTCGGAAGAGCAGATGCTCCTCATTAAGGACCTTCATGCTACCTTTGGGAAAGAGATAAAGGAGGTGAAGGATAAGGTTGCTCAACATGACAACCGCCTGTCGGAAGCTGAAACCCAAATCAAGGAAGCTAAAACCCAAATCGACCAAGTGAACAATCGGGTTGATTACGTGGTGGCTGACGTGAAGAAAACGCTGGACGACCTCAAACTGTGTGATGGAACTACAGCTCCCGTAGTAGCTACTACACCTTCGCTACGTGGGTTCAAAGTGCCACCGTTCGACGGGACTTCTTCCTGGTCAGCCTACAAAATCCAGTTCGAGGCTGTTATGAAGGCGAACGGCTGGAATAAAAGTCAGGCAATGACTGCTCTCACACTAGGCCTGCGCGACCAGGCCTTAACAGTTCTGGAAGCTCTCGGGGAGGAAGTGACTTAAATGAGGCATGGAGGCGAGATATGCTCACCTGGAACGTGTCTTTCGTGCGCAGCTTAAAGATCGCGTGCAGCGCATCAACGAAAACCTGCAGCAGTGGGCTCTAGAGGTGGAGAAGCTGGTGCGGAAAGCATACCGGTCTGTACCTGCGCTCATTGAAGGGAACCTGGTGCAGACATTCATCGACGTCATCCGCGACCTGGAAGTCAGAGCTGCTGTGAGGCTCGGGCACCACGAGACGCTTAAGAACGCCTTGGCCCATGCACTGGAGGTGGAAGCCGTGCGGCAGGATCATCGTTCCCATCGCGTCAGGGAGGTTGCAGCCGCTACAGTCCGTGACCGCAGCAAAGGATACAGCCATCTTCGATCCAGCTGCCCTAAACGAACCGTGGAAAGGAGAGTTGATCGATCTCGAGAGGGTAGTGCAGCTGACGGCACTGCCTGGCGGCGACAGGATCATCGTTCACCTCACGCTAGGGAGGTTACAGCAGTTACGGTTCGCGACCACAATAAAAGATACAGCCCTAGGTGCTATGGCTGTGGGGAAAGGGGCCATCTTCGGTCCAGCTGCCCTAAGCACACCCTAGGAAGGGAAGGTGAACGGTCTCAGAAAGGAAGTGCGGCTAACAGCACCGCCCAGCAGCAGCAGGAATACGACTTTACTATCAGACACTGCAGCGGGAAATCTCACGGCAACGCAGATGCATTGACAAGAAGACCTTATCCTGAAGATTGCAACCATTGTAGTAGGCAAGAGAGTAAGGAAGTGGTATCCGTGAGGATGCTCAGGACAGACCACCTCAGCAACGGGTGGAAGGACAGCCTACGACATGCACAGTAGGAAGATCCGGACATCAAGCCGATTCTGGGATGGATGAAGGCCCGTGCTACCAAGCCTAAGTGGAGGGACGTCTCAGCGATGAGTTCAACCACGAAAAGCTATTGGGCCCAATGGGACGGCTTGCTGATTCAGGATGAAGTACTGTGCCGTAAATGGGACAATGGTCGAAGAGATAGCTGTCGTTTGCAAATGGTTGTCCCTAAAGCTAAAGTGGTTCTACAGCTGTGCCATAATGGTCGTTCAAGAGTCCATCTGGGAGTTAAACGAACTCTACTGAAGGTCCGAGAACAGTTTTTCTGGGTCCATTATCGTGACGATGTCGAGGATTGGTGTCGTACATGTACAAGTTGTGCGGCCGTGCGGGGACCTCAGACACGTAGTAGAGGAGCACCGAAATTGTACAATGTTGGTGCACCACGGGATAGAACAGCCCTTGACATCGCGGAGCCGTTACAGAAAGGCGCAAGAGGGACTCCTAAGATCGTCCATGTGGATCGCTTGGCGCGTTATTATGGGGTCGATAATGCTCGGGACGAGCATGTCTTAGGAGGGGCAGTGTTACGCGCTCAAGTCAACGATACACTAGCGCCATCTAGTGTCAGGAACGAGAGCGAGGGGAGCTTTGCAGTAAATGACATCACAAATCTTTCGACCGACAGCGCCACCCGAAGAACTAAGTTTCTGGAAAATCTACACTCGAATACTCGTTGCCTGGCGCGCATTTACTTGAATGTTCGGGACGCTTCTTTGCTAATTATATAAATAGGCGCTGCAAGATGCGATCGGGGCAGTGTTGATTTGGCGAAACAAGCGAAGCTTCAGAGCGGAATAAAGTGAATTAGTGTGTTTAATTATTAGTGTTTTTAACTTTAATTTGTATTAAAGTGTTAATTTAGGTAATTTTATCGGCAATTTTTATTGTCACGAACCTCAAGCTCGTAACAATATTTATGTATATTTATCTTTTCATTTTCATTTATAATTATATATTTATAGAACCCAACCAGATGAAAAATCTATATTTATAACCCCCATAACAATAATAAGCTTTTTATTTGTCTGAGTTTACACATGTTATTAAAAAATACAAATAGAAATCATCACAAACTTAACTTAGAAACATACTTAAGTAACATAACAGTAATGAGACAAACTGGCCTGTGACTCAGCTATGTGGTGATTTTAGGTCACCGCTGGGATTCTGCCACAGCTGACTTAAAAAACACAGTATATTAACCTAATTTTGGCATTGACGTAATACAACTAAAGAATAGACTAAAATGTTTATTCATATGTGCCATGCAAATTTAGTAAGTAGTAGGTAAAGGAGACAATCGCCTCTGGACCTACCAGAAACTTCAACGACTCTCAATGGTATTAGTAAGAATTAAGTCTGTAGTTATATATAATACTTCATACCTGCCTCCAACTTTTGTTGTTCAAGTAACCATACTTTACATTTCTTTCTAAATAAATTTGTATTTACGATCTCCTGCAAAGAATGAGGTATAT